GGACTTGCTCATCTAGTTTTTATATTTTTTTCAGAGGGAATTTCTCTGAAATCCATGGATTTCTTAACTCTACCCTTGAAAATTGAGATGTCCTTCTCTGTTTTTAAAAACCTTGATAAGTAAGGTCATTCATTGCTCTAGCCTATATACTTTGAAATATTTTATTTTGGACAATTTGCAGGAAATATAAAAGTATTACATATTTTTGTAGAAACTTTTTATACACAGTAACATAATACAAAGCCACGTGGGTTCCGGGGTCAAGATCTCCAAGCCTACTCGGATTGGAGTCGAGCATCCTCCACCCAGATCCTCCAAATTCCAGTAGGCGGGGGTCACACCCACCAACTGGCCCCCTGGCACCGTGTAATCCCATCAGCGGCCAAGACTCAGAGACTATAAAAACCAGCTCCCGGAACCGTGTGGCCGCATTCACGGCCGTGCGACATCTTATTATGACAACTTATTATCTCATTTCTACTTTGGACAAACTGGCAGGCTCCCGAATGTAGCCTGCCCACATGGCAGAGTCTGGCAAACTCCCCGTGGCGTACCCAATATGCCAAATATCAGTAACAATGATGGGTCTCATTCTCCTAAAGAGCCTTGAATATAATCTCAGGGCTAGGATGAAGGAGACGTTACTGGGGCCTGCTCGAGGTAATCGATGAATAACAGGATGATCTGTGATCTGTGATCTGTGAACATAATACATAATAAAACGGATATAAATGATAGAATAAAAAATTCTTTTGAGTGGGAGAAAATATTTATTTGCTACACATGATAAAGGTTTAATACCGAAGATTATAAAGTATTCGCAAAATTTAGTAACAAAAAAAAAAAAACCAAACCACATTTAAAAACTGGTGAGAAGAGCTGAACAGACACTTTCTCAAAGAAGGTATGCAGATGGTAAGTAAAAATGTTTTTCATCACTTATCATCAGGAAAATGTAAACCAAAATGACAATGAGATATTACTTCACACCTGTGAGAATGGCACACATCAAAAAAACTGGAAGCAACTAGTACAGGCAGGAATGTGGAGGAAAAGGACCCCTCATTCAATGTTGGTGGGATTTTTTGGTTCAGCCTCTCTGGATAAGAACCTTCTAAAAAAATCAAGAATTGAGGGTCTGGAGATACAGTACAACGGGTAGAGGGCTTGGTTTGCATGTGGCCAATCTAGTTTTGATACCCAGCATCCTATATGCTATCCTGAACCTGCCAGGAGTAAACCCTGAGCACCATCGGGTGTGGCCCTCCCCCCCCCAAAAAAAATAATTAAGAATTGAGCTTAGAAATGACTTCAAAATTCCACTTCTCAGCATCTACTTCAAGAGCATAATCATCATAATTCAAAAAGATGATTGCACTGCCATGTTCAAATAACACTATATCTAGAAACATAGTAAAAATTGCTCAATGGCAAATGAAAACAGACTGTGAGAACTAGATCTCTTAAGGGGAAGTGGAAGGAAAAGGAAAAGGAAGAAAGACGAAAGATAGTGATAGAGGAATGCTGATGCTCTGGTGGTGGGTGTAGTATAACAAAATTGTACTCCTGAAATTATATTCCTGTTTTTGAGAACAATAGAATCAATTTGGATATAAGCAGAAATTGTGTTTTAAAATATAAAATAAGTTGTTTTACTCTTTTATTGAATAAAATTATCATTTATCTTTTAATTGGATGTGCGATGCATAAAGGTAGATTTGCTTTAAGTGGTTAAATATTTTAAAATTTCTATTATGCTTTCCGGCTTTTTTGTCATTTTCAGAAAAGATTTCTTTCACCCATAGTTCTATAAATATATCCTTGCATCTCTGTTATATTTTGACTCTATAATATAACACATATCTAATGTTTCAGTATTCAATATTTTGATGCAAGTATGAAAGAAATATTCAATTTTATTTCATATTTCTGAACAGAATTTCAATTACTTAAATACCATTAATTTCAACATCTTTTGCTCTAAATTGAAATCTCATCTTTATCATAATCAAAATTTCATTTATATATTTTTCTTTTTATTTATTTATATATTTATGGGCTGGAGCGATAGCACAGTGGGTAGGGCATTTGCCTTGCATGCGGCTGACCTGGAGTTCGATTCCTCCATCCCTCTCGGAGAACCTGGTAAGCTACCGAGAGTATCCCACCAGCATGGCAGAGCCTGGCAAGCTACCGCGGCATATCCAATATGCTAAAAACAGTAAAATGTCTCACAATGGAGACGTTACTGGTGCCCACGCTACCAAATCGTGAATAATGGGAGGACAGTGCTACAGTGCTACAATGGACAGAGTTATTTATATTTAGTTTTATGAAAGTCTCATATTGTATTATTAACATTATAGATTAAATTTGATTTTTTCATAAATATTTTTAGCTACTATTAAAAATTATGAGGGATCAGGAGGATAGTTCCAGGGCCAGGGACATATGCCTTAGAGATGCAAGAACTTGAGTGTGAACAGGCCCCAGTATTGAACTGTCTATTCAACCTGGCATGTCAGAGAGTGACTTCCTATTTAAAGCCCTGAAGTACAGCTGAAAATGCTTAAGTAATTATGCAAATATTCTAAGAAGCATTTGAGTTAACTTTCTTGTTAAAAATTTGAATCAATACATATTTATCACAAGAATTAAAATAGAAAATTAAACATTTTATAAAATAAAGACATTTTTCTAAGATTTCTGCAGACTGAGAAATCAACCCAAAGTATGCTTCAATCTACCAGTGAGTAATAAACTTGGATCTAAGGGATCAAAAATTCTCCCAAGAATGTTCCCATAAACCAGACATGAAAGATTGTTAAAAATGCCATTAAAAACTGTAGGATTTCCTTAGGGAGTTCTGCTTTGCATTTTATAGACTCCATGATAGGCACTTTTTTGGCTTTACATTTGCTGCTCATAGAATTATATTTTTCTGGCTCTTAACATTTTAGTTTCAGGGTATTTTGGTGTTCTTCAGTTTAGGTTTACACTGAGTCTCAAGATATTCACTGGAAGGAACAACACAGACTTCAAGAACAAGTGAATTAATTTATCATACAGTAGTAGTGGTATCATAAATCATAGGGGTGAGGCATATTACTCAACAAACTATTCTGAGACAACTGGCTCTGCAGTTTAAAAAAAAGGCATGTGATTCCTACTTTATTACTTACAAAAACAAGTTTCAAGTGGGTTAGAGATTTAGTTATAAAAAAGCAGATGATAAAATAAGAAATATAGGTAAATGTTATTTTCAGAAGAAGACAATTATAATCATGACACAAAATCTTGAAACCTCAAAGGAAAATTAATAAAACCAATTCTTGAAAACATCAACAATTTTAATGGCTCCATTATAGTTCATTTTAAAAATGAACTATAATGCTACATATATGTAAAGTTTCCTATGTATGGGACTTATACTTTAACAAAGATATCTGTGCTATATTAGAGTGTCTTTATTTTTGTTATATTAGGGTGTCTTTATATGAAAGTGTCTGAGTTCTAAAAATCATTTCTGTGGAGGCCCCACAACCTATTTCAAAGCAATATATATTTAAAGATATAAATGAAGTTTATCATACATTGTGAAGGTTATGCTAGCAATATATAGGACCTACTTTTATTTTACTTTTTGGGTCACACCTAGAGATGCTCAGGGGTTACTCCTGGCTCATGCACTCAGGAATTACTCCTGGTGGTGCTCAGGGGACCATATGGGATGCTGGGAATCAAACCCAGGTCAGCTGCGTGCAAGGCAAATGCTCTACAAGCTGTGCTACCAGCCCCTAGGACCTACTTTTAATTACAGAGGATGAAATAAGAATTACTTCTCTAGGTCAGAATTTGTCATTTACAATAGACAGTAAGAACATTTTTGTGGAGGTCAACTTGTTTTCTCTAAACTCGACCTGACATGATTGAGGCCTTACTACTTGAAAATTTCTGGTTTCTCTTGAATGTCTATAATATTACTCTGTGAGTACTTTGCTAACCTCATGAATCCTGATGTTTGTTTTTATCTTTTTGTTTTTAAAATCACTTAGAACCAGAAACCACAATTCAGGGCAGGCAGTTCGGGAACCTAACAAAAGTGAAATGAGTCACAGTGGTGGGTTTATATTTACTTAAGTTTTCTAACCTATTCTAACACTTGTATAAAAATGAAATTGATTAAGAATAATCTGGGGGTGGAGAGATAGTATAGTGGGAAGATAAGATGCTTGCCTTAGATACAGCTGGCCTGGATTGGACCCCCAGCACCCCATATGGTTCCTCCAGCACCACCAAGAGTGATTCCTGAGCATTGAGCCAGGAGAAACCCAGAATACTACTGGGTATGACTCAGAAACAAAACAACAACAAAAATTTAGTTAAAAATGTGAGATTTGTGTGAATTTGCTTTTAGAATGGAATTTCTGTTATGGTTCTAACCATATAATGAAAATTTTATCATGGTTAAAATAAAAAGGTATTTGATGAATTCTTCCTTGTTTGTTTCAGCTACTCTGCATCACTGAAATAGTCAAATTCATCATACACTGAAGAGTTTCTGGGTGTTTCACTCATACTGAAAGAGATAACAGATCTATCAGTAGGCCCTGTGGCTTAAATAATTCTAATAACTGCATTTCCCAGCTTTCGATTAGTTACTCAGAATTAAAATTTTCAACAACCCATTTCATAAGACATTTAAAAATATGGTTTCTGATTTAAAAAAAAAACCAATTCACCCATTAAAATTATGTATATTTTTATTAAGCAGATCACCATGCATTGTAATAAAATGCTACATAGCAATAAAATCTTGTCTTATGTCTTACAGCATGAAGTTTCCCAATTGCTTATAAACAGTTTCCAGGAAAAGATGGAGCGAACACATCCCTTATAAATTTCAATCTTATAAACTCTAGGAGAATGAATGTAAAAGTGAGCTCTAGGTTCCAATTTAGACACTAAAATCAAACAAAACAGAGAAGAGGCATACTCACTCATTGGGGGTACCCTTCAGGCCACAAAAATGACCATCACTGTCTGTAGGATACGCCACTCTCCTGGGGTCGCCATGTACCCAGGCTGCAGAAATAAGAAAGGATAAAAACTCTAATCAGTAACAGCTGGCTAAGGGCTGTCTGATTTGAGAAATTAGAATGCACCACGGCAACACACTAACCTCTCCTCTTAGTCACAGAGGATTATTGATTTTCTTCAAAGAGTAATTTCTTAATGAAAAGTGAAATAAAATATGGATGAATCAGTCAGAAAGCACATTTCTCTTGTTCTCTCAGGACTCATCTGGATTGTAGCCAAAACATGAGGTAATGCACTTAGAAAATGACATTTATTAAAATGTGAATTAGAGGGTACACTACAAAAGCTTGGTTGGCCAGAAGTCACCTTTCTAAGGAGCTAAGCTAAATGACTTCATAGTAAAGCTAACAAATTTACATTAATTGTTATGATTTTATTCTTTTGGGTTATACATAAATGAAATTCACTAAAAATTTAGGAGACTAAAACTATAATACTCAATTCAAACTGGCTAGTTTGTTATGATTTCATTCTGAAGGCAAAGAAAAGCAATATTATAGGCAACCCATAATAGGGTTTTATTATACATTTGTCAGATAATCTAAAATCTTAATATAAATATCAAGTTTTTTCATACTTTATGAACACCAAATACTCAGTTATACTTTCTCAGAAGACAAAGAGTTCTACCTTCAGAAACTCATAACCTTTATTTTTGATGAATTATAAATTTGAACTGACAATTATAGTTTAGAACCAGAGTTACATGAATTACTTAAATTGGGTAATACTCCATAATTCTATCCCATTTTTTACTTATTGAATTTTTAAAAAATCATCTCTAAAAATCTAAAGACTATATTGGACATATAAAGCTACATGTGCAGATGGAGAACATATCTCATTGTCCTTTGCTTTTTTTTTTAAACATTTGCCCAGATATCTCCTTACTCACATTTATTGGATTTGATTTGACACTTCAAGCTATAATCCCATCAGCCCTTATGTACATGGCCTGTGTGTTTTAGGAAGATAAAAAAAAAATCGATTCTGAGTAAGAATTTTAATATAGAAGAGAAATTTTTTTCAATCATTTTCTCATCTATTTATGGCCTTCCTTTTAGCATCAAAGTGCCCAGAAAGGTCTTTCTTTTTCTAATGTCACTGAGGCCAAATCGGTTTCATCTTCTAATACCTTCTTAGAAAATCTGACTCATCTACGTAATTCCTCCTACAATATGTTTTCCTTATATGTATTTCCAGAATGAAGAGAGTGGACCATAAACAAGGCATTCAAGTGATATCAAAGCTCAATGTACAATGCCTCTGTCGCTTCTGTGATATTGTTTTTAATGTTTTAACTTTGGCTAACTCTAAAAACAATCTAATTTTACCTATTTTTGATGTTTTTCTCACGCCTATCCTTAAGTGTTTTGTTCCTATTTTGTGTATTATTAAAGCAGAATTGGATGTTTAAAAAAGCATTAGGATTGCTTGCTATCTTTGCTACTTAATATATTTATCACTTTCAGTAAGTCCATTGTTTTGAGTCTTGACTTTCTAATTTGTTACAATAAAATAGGCAATAATAACAATATTCAGTTTAATGAGACTGTTAAAATACGAAAGAAGATAATGAAAACAAAATGTCTAACATGGTGGTTGTCATACAGCCTTTGATTTGGTAATGTTAGTTCCTATCTTATTTAGATTTCCTTAAAGATAAATTCAGAAACTTTGATGAAAATAGTTAATTTGGAAGGTGATTTTAGGGAACTTTAGTGGGAGCAATAAAAGTAAGAGGGAAGGGATCTAAGCCAATAAAGATCTAAGTGGATTACTGCATCGGCACCAGTGACTCATCTTGCTAGGGACCAAATGTAAAATATGCCCATCAGTGGACATAGCTGTAAGCAAACACAGAAGGACTAAGGGGCATCAGCAGCATCTAGTATAGTTTGCTTGTTCTCTTTCACCATCAATGAACTAATCAGAGAATTTGCTAGATGATCACTATGTGTTCCTAACATATGTGTCAGTAACCTTATAATTTATGCAGTTTCCAAGAAACATTCGAAAAGGAGAGAAAAAAGTTTGTAGAAGACTAAGAGTAGAATCTGAGTAAGATTGAACAACGACTAGAACTTGGGAAGGGGACCAGAAATAGGAAAGTCATTGCAGATTTAAAGAATAGGATAACAACAAAAGCTTTAATTCATAAATCACTTACATTGAGCTGCATATTAAGCTGAATGCATTACCTAGTTGTCACAACGGAGTAATGATTCCATGATAGCAAGTCACCAGAGTTCTATGGGGTATGTGTTGGAATATAGCTCCAAATATTTTAGGCTTCACATTGGTTTGTCCTTTCCCCCTTGCCACAAGGAGCTTAGGTTCATTGAGTCACACCCATCACAATGCCACAGAGTCACTACCATTCTTTTGTTTATCTGTAACCACTTCTATGCTCTCCTCCCCAACCAGTTAATCATCTTTTCCCCTAATCGGAATCTGTTAATTTGTAAGGTCAGATCCTTCTAGGACACTAAAATTGTAAGTTAATATTGCCTTTCTCCTCTCCTTATGTCTTTTGAATAGTTTACTTTAAAGCAATGTCCTTTTTTATAGATACAGGAAGACAGTTAATATTATACTTTGTAACTTAGGATTTAATTGGTTTTGAATATTATTCATTCCCGGGCATTTGCTTTCTCGACTTAAGCCTCAATTGCCCTCACTTCCTAGCACCCCTAAAGCAGGTTCCCGACGAGGGACTGAATGGACCCAGGGCAAGCTGTGGTCTACCCTGCCATCGAAATGGGCCAGGTCAAAGCGCCACAATTCTTAACTATAAGTTAAGAGCTTGATCATAGACAAATGCTGTCAAGATCCAAAAGTAATGATGAGACTAGGACCCTGCTAGAGATAGGAAAGACTATCTGGCCTGAGCACTGTAGTCTGAGATCGAGATGGCCCTATGAGAGCAATTCTATAAGCTTAAAGTATTTCTTATTGTGTCCATATAAAATGATTTATATTATGAATGCTTATATGTATGTTGGACAAGGAGAGGAGAAACACACCCATGGGATTCCGCTCTAGGGTGGGTTCACCTGCTAAATAAGAATCTGTTCTGGAAGTGGCTTTCCCTGAGGGAAAGAACTCTACCCTATTGATAGTGACCACACCTATATGTAACTGCGACCCCAACCCCTCACGCTGGGGAATATAATGAGACTATAAGAGTGGGCTGGGGGAGAAGCAGAGGAGAGACAGGAGTGAGTGGAGAGAGGATTGGAATAAACTGCAACTGACACCAACCAGCCTGGCCCTCGCCACTGACCATTCCTTCAACTGCCCATTGTCACTGACCTCTCTGGGGTGGAGGAACCGGCGTGAGACTACCCAACGCGGGCGGTGGGAGTGAAAGACCACTGCTGTCTTTTTTGTGTTTACACAGTATGTATTATTTGCATCGAAGATTTATAGATAACTGCAACTCAGTCTACCTTTTATGTAGTGTAAACAGAGTTTGAACCCAGGTTTGTTGCTCCCCAGGGTCTATACTTTAACATCTGGACTATCGGTATCAGAACACTGCCTTTCAATACTAGAATAGGAATAAACTTGATAACAATGTGAAACAGCGACATCAGCTGAGGAAGGATCCGCTGATTCTCTAAAATGGCCCACATCTGCTTGGGATGTATATTTTGCTGTTCCCAACTTGGAGACTCCCACATTCTCTCTTAAGCACATCTCTCTTTCCCTAGTGCTTTACTATCACTCTGGCCCTAACCACAATTATTTAAGGTTACTGTTAATTGCCACTCTAACTTCCTCTTTATCACAAAATCCCTCCTGGCACTCCACCTTGACTGACTCTAAAGTAGTCACAAAAAGTGGTCTAACTAAAACCACTTTAATATGTATTTCACAAATCAGTCATTTGCTAGTACATAATTTCCCATGTGTTGAGGTAAGATTTTAGACTTAATGAATGGATGTTACTAGACTGTAGCAGAAATCATATACTGAGGTACTGCAGGAATCATGTATTATGTTAGTCGCAAGAGAAAATAATAAATTGCAGCTTCCTCTTTGATCTGTCTTTTAGATTACTAGGGAAGACATTTAATATGTCATGAGGACATTCAGGTGGTCCTACATAAAGTCCACATGATTATCAGCAGGTACTGAGAACATTCTGTGAGGAAGTCATCTGGAAGTCTGATCCTCCACCATAGTCAAGTTTCAGGCCTTACTTTCTCTTTCAGGGAGTCAGACACTGTGCTTAGGGCACCATTGATGTCAGGGGTTGAATCAGAGTCTCCTGCATGCAAAGTATATGCTCAACTTGTTGAGCTCTCTCTTGGTTAAACCTTGTTAGCTGACATCTCAACTGCTACTAAAGAAGAACTCAGAGTCAGAACTATCCATAGACATGTTGTTGACTCCCAACCATAGAAGCTGTGTGAGATAAGACATGTTTGTCTTTTTACATTTATATTTACAAGATTTGGGAGGACGGTAATTTGCAATGCAGCAATAGATATAAACTGTCACTGTCACTGTCCTCCCGTTTTTCATCGATTTGCTCCAGCGGGCCCAATAATGTCTCCATTGTAACAATTGTTACTGTGTTTGGCATATCAAGTATGTCACGGGTAGCTTGTCAGGCTTTGCTGTGCAGGCGAGATACTCTCGGTAGCTGGACAGGCTCTCAGAGAGGGGTGGAGGAATCGAATCTGGGTCGGCCAGGTCAGCTGCATGCAAGGCAAACACTTTACCCTCTGTGCTATCGCTCCAACCCAGATATAAACATTATACAGAATTATTAAATATTTCAGATACTTGAAAAGGACAGTTAGTTAAATTATCATTTTCTTCTTCAACCTTTCCTTTTTGTAAATAAAAATTTGACCTGTTTATAATATTTTAAACTTATACCTATAATTGATAAAATGTTACGTATTTCTGGGGGATTCTTTACCATATTATTTAATACCTGTGGCTCTTGACTTAATTCCTTAGGGCAAAAT